TCGCAATATGGAAAATTCATGAAAATCGCGGCGAAACGTTCCCCACCTCGTGCGTGTGACATTCGCAAAAATTTCGCCGGATACTTTCAGCGGCTCGTAGCCGCGTATTTTATACGCGAAACCATTTTGCCGGCCGCATACGAGCGATTTCAATTAAATTAAATTCCAATTAAATTAAATTCCAATTAAATTATAGGCCGGCCCCGTCCCCTGTCGGCCGAGAGAACATATGTATTCGGCCATGTGTGTTTCGAATACTTCTTCGATACAACAGAATTTAAAAGCTACGAGTGCAAATAATCCCACTTGCGACTAACTTGATAATTTCTTTTATCCTTTGCTCCTTCTTTCGTTCTTTTTTTCTTCAATAACACATGTGGCGAACGGCGAATAGGAACACGCGAGAACGAAGAATCAGATAATTTACTTTGCACATACAATATATAGAGATATAAGCATGCTTTCGTTCGAGTAATAAAAAATGATTGTTACGTAGCAATTGCTATGGCAAATATTACTAAATACGCGAATTAACTTGCAATTTTTCGTGAATTTGTCGAGAAATATAATTTAGCTTGAAAAAAAAGCAATTTCCATTGTTCATTCTTAAAAGAAGACAGTGATTTTCGACAAGTTTTGTATCCTTTAATTTCCCACTAATGCACAGAAATCCATAATTTAGTGATAAATTATTACTCGGTCTTTAATTACGTAGACCACAAATTGATTCGACTTAATAATTTATTGAATCAGCTACAATCTATCACCACAGCCATTCCAACCACAGGCCATTTCGAATTTCTGAAATTTAAAATTGAACAAGAAAAATTCTCCGTCCGTTTCTTTGCGCAGGTTTCCATTTCCAATATTCAATTCCAGCCTTTCCCTTCGTTTGAATATTTCCTTCTTTCATCTTCGGCCTATATATCCGTGTAAAGGCAACGATTTTATGAGGATCGATTGTTCGAGGACAGAAATGAACGACGAGAGCGGCAATGTCGCGGAAAATTTTCACTCAGTAAAAAAAAAAAAAAAAGGAAAGAAAAAGAGGAAAATACGATTTCTTGGTTTTGTTTTTACAGCCGGCAGGCAATTGATTACCATCGAAACCAAGGCAAATCTGCAAGTCGAAATAGACTTGCGTGTTTATCCGACTCGGTGAGCTACGAATAGTAAATACAGCCTGTGTACCCAGTGTTTTCGGTAAGTCGATGCCCGTTTCAATTTGCCAAGGAACTATTTTGCTTTGGCAGTAGCTGCTGCTACCTGGTCCAAGTACGGAAAGCCGGAAATGAAGCGCAAATTACTCGCGGACATTTGATTCGCTGGTAACAGCTTTTCCACGGAGGAACAATTTTTGTGGCTAGACGGCACAATAACTCGAATTACACTGTCATTTTTGTGCAAACGCGACTTTAACGTTCGAACTAGAATACAGAATTTGTACCCGGCGCAATTACAATACAACGAATAGAGAAAAAATTTCGGAAGTGCACGAGTTTCCATTTTGCGAAAAATCAAATTTTTAAAACTGTACTGTTGTAAATCTGCGAAATTTATCTGAAAAATAAAGCGCAAATTACTCGCGGATATTTGATTCGCTGGCAACAGCTTTTCCAGGGACGAACAACTTTCGTGGCTTGACGCCACAATAACTCGAATTACACTGTCATTTTTGTGCAAACGCGACTTCAACATTGAAACTAAAATACAGAATTTGTACCCGGAGAAATTAAAATACAACGAATGGGAAAAATTTTTTAAAAAAAGCACAAGTTTCCATTTTGCGAAGAATCATTCTTCAAATTTTTAAAACTGTACCGTTGTAAATCTGCGAAATTGATCTGAAAAGTTTCGCTGCTAATTGCGGCAAGGATCTCTTATTTTCATTAAGGTCTTATTTTTAGTATTCTATCATATATTGACTCGAATTGATAGACAGTCCTGCAATAATTGGTTATCGTTTTAGTAGTTCGAGCATCAAGTCGTTTCTTAAAACACTTTGCAAGTGTAAAATTATTCTTTGAAATAGTGTTGTATACACGTTTAACAAGCTGCAACACTTAGCGAGAACATCTCATACACTGAGTAAATATCTTATCCACTGTTCACACTTCACTGATAACGCCTAAAATAACTATCTTAGGAAGATTGATGTCGCGGGTCATCCTGCACGTCTACACACACGTGACGTGTTCACAATTTTGCACACTTCATCGGTAAAATCTACATAGAGAATATGATTCCCATAGTAAGATTGATGTCGGAGTCCTCTCTACCACGAGTAGTATAATATATACAAATATAAATCAAAATTATTTTTTAACTCCTTGACGTACGATTACGTCAAGTTTCTGTAACACTGAAAGTTGCGTATCTACGTATTATTATTACACATTTTATTCTGTATATCTATTGCTGATCTGTCGTATTAGAAAGTTTCTAGTTCCCACATTATAAACTAGCTTAACGAATAAACTTTTTCTCTTGTATGTATGAACGAAAACCCTGGTATAAACATCTCAAATCTCCGTATGAAAATAATTTCGTTTATGAGATGAAACAGCGATAAATTTGTTTCAACCTGTACGACTAAAAAAATTAACATGAAACAATGTAACGTAACCGTAATAGCACACTCAACGAGTGCAAGAGCAGGGTTTTTGCTGTTAAAAATTGTAAACCATCTTGACGTACTGACCTGCTTATGTGCATATCCAGTAATGATAACAACTTTTGTACACATACACACACGCACATATATATGTGGAAAAACATAAAAGATAAAACAGAAACGAGGTACAAATAAAAAAAAGAGAAGAAAAATGGTTGCACCATATTTTGCATTATGTTACAGCATCGCGATATGGTTTTATCACGTCTTTAACTACATAAATTATAATAATACGAGCAAAACGATACAATTCGTAACAAAATTATTTTACCGATCAGTTTTAATTTACTTTCGAAGTTCAAATAGACTGAATTGTATGTCAATAATGAAATAATAAAGTTACTTTATAATAATTACATTACAGAGTTATTTTATTACAATTTCATTATATCAATAATGAAATAATAAAGTTACTTTATAACAAATACTAAATAATAAAGTTGCTATAAAAAATACATTGTAATAAAATTGCAGTAAAAACGATTTTTACAATATCACGAAAATGAGGAACCGTAAAACAAGTGAAATAAGAATTTTCTATTATTCTGAAAGTAGTCTTATCGGAACTCTGATTAAGTTCGCGCTTTTATTAAGGAAGAACTACAGCGAATCTGTCAACTGTCTTCGAATCCGTGGATAATCCCACCATAGGAAAGAAATTCCTTAATTTTCACTTCAGTTTGGGAGCTTATTAGAACTTGTTCCATAATTAATATACCAAATAATCTTCGCAGGCAATCTTCACTTACTTTATGCATACAAATCTAATTACCTCGAGAATACCACGAAACATGACAATATTAATATCGATGTATCGAAAGCATTTTGGACGAGTTGAATATAAAGGAGAATAATTATAAACTACGTAAGAAAAGAAATACAAGTCTTTAAATTTTTTTTCCAATTATATTACAAAAGAATAAAATTCTGGGTAAAAAGAAAGTCCATAAGAAATATCGAAAATAGTCGTGCAATATCGATCGAACAACTTGGATCAGTGGAGATAAAGAGAGAAAAATTATATTCTTTTAAAGTTTTTGTACATTTAATGGATTTGATAAAATAACTTTGAGAAATAAAAGTACTGCAATGACTCTCCTCTACAATTATCTTAATACCAAATTTCCTTTACAATCTTCTATAATTCATTAATTGAAACGAAAATTTTTAAACTAATAACCGATTAACAATATTTTTTCCAATTGTTCTACTAATTTGAACGTGACCTCTCCTCTTAAGGGCCAACGGTGCACCGACTTGGTGCTTCGTCTTTCTACAATTTTTCTCAACCAATTTACACTATCGAATAATAATTGTTAACCTGGTAATGGATTCCAAGGCCTTATGTTCTCATAATGATTTTAATTGCAGTAAATGGTAATTAATAATTAATTGATAATTAATAGTAACTGTTATTATCTATTATTAATAATTAATTATTTATTATTAATAAAATTAATAATAATTAAATCTTATTTAGCTATTCTCAAGAAAACGAAAATCAATTTAAACAAAAATCAATTTAATTTTTGACTGTAATATAATTATTTTCTACATAAATTAATATTATATGTCACAGACTTATAAATTAATCTAGTATACCTCAACGGAATTATAAGTTAAAAATTAACCGTGCAAACGTAACTTCATTTTGTAAAAAATATAGAAATTACAGTATTTTGTTGTTGCCTTAAATTAATGGAGGCTGTGAAACAATAAAACTGCCAAATTACTGATTACTAAATAGAAAAACTGTTTACGGAAGTATTGACAAAGCATACCGCTTGCTGTGCATCACTGACTTTACCTGAAGGTTAAACAGGAAAATGATTATTATAAGTTGAACCTTCATCGTGTGCACATCGATTTAACTTTCGAAATAAATTTTAAATAATATTTCTAAATATACAAATAGTTTAAATATTATCTAATATTTCTAATCATTTACTTGCAACAATTAAATAATAAGTTCTCTTCTGTAAAATTTCTGTCATTAAAAATTTTTAACTAATATTTAATAATAATTTATAAGATTCCTGAAAAATGTGCTTAAGAGAAATGACTTTAATGTAATATAAAAGTAGTGAAAATTACTAAATAATGTCAAGAAATATTGTAAAAATAATTTAATTGTTTCAAATGAATTATTCAAACTGTAAAATAATGCATTTCGATGATATTTTTGTATATTAACAATTTAAACTATTTACTTATAACAATTGAATCAGTGATTGAATTCCCAAGCATTATTTCATACTTTCAATAACTCATTTATAATAATTAAATTATTTTATTGACAATAATGAAAAAGACAGTTACATAATACATATATTTCCTTCTATTTGCAGGAAAACAATAAACGAGCGAAAATTTTTATATGTTGCGCTTACATATTATTTTGAAGCGACGATCTGCTTAACTCAATTTTTCCCTACATAACTTTTCTCTACATAAATTTCTATTTAATATACATCGATGCAGTTATGACTTAAAAATCAATATAATGAAAATGTAAATTTAGTTTTAGCCAGTAAAAAATTAATAAATAAATTATTACATTTAACATTGTAACAAATTCAAGAAACTATAACTTTGCGATAGAAATGTAAAACCTACTAAAGCATTGATTAGTATAATAGAAAAATTGTTTTTCGAAATACTAAAAAAAAATTATCAACAGTTCCGGGTCACCGACGATCGGAACATTAGATTAACCTTGAGCAGTACGAAGAATCATTTGGTCGTGTGTACATCGTTTTAAGGGTTTGAAAAAAATTATCAACTGTTCTGGATCATTGAGGACCAAAATATAATATATATTAACCTTAAGCGGTACGGAGACTCATTACCAATTGAACTTCGGTCGATGTGCACATCGACCAAAATTTAGGGGTGAGTTTTAAATAATATTTCTCAATATTCTAATTGTTTAAATATTATCTAATATTTATAATAATTTATTTGTAACAATAAAACAATAAATTCTCTTCTATAGCATTTCTAAATTTTATTTAAAATTTTTAATTAATCATTTGTAGTAATCGAATCACTAATCATTTCTAAGAAATTTTTATTATCTGTATCGCATCATTAACGAAAGATCAGATTAATGTCAATCGATATGGAGACAAGAGCTCATTACGAATTGAATTTTTGTCGTGGCCACATCGACCAAATTTAAAAGTTGGAAAAAAATTGTCAACTGTTCTGAATCACTGACGACCGAAGTATACATTAACCTTGATCGGTGACGAGGCTCATCATAGTCGTACAAGATATACTTTATTAGTTACCATTCTTTAACAATTACCGTGATATACGTTATATTTCTGCATATACATAGATAATATTAATCTAACAATACCATTGCTATTTACATATTATTAGATATTTTCAGAATTTCTCTTTGAATCTATAATTTGGAAAATAATTTAGTCCTTTACTATTAATTAGTCAAACAAGAATATTTCTTCAGTATCATAAATTAGTCATTAGATCGATCAAACAATTATGCCTTATTTTACGAATAATTCCTCTTTAAAACAAATTATTTAAATTAAATACAAGCTAAAACCTGTGCGAGAAATATATAAAAGAGTACTGATTTAAAATACATTATAATGAGATCCGTGCGTAGTCACCTCCACGTGGTGGGTCTTGGTAATTGACATCGTTTTACAAACATTAAAGTTTGTAAAACGTTATCAAGCTAAATTGTAAAACGATAAACTTTAACCTTAACGTTTGTGAAACGATATCAAGCTAAGAACTGCGCAACCTACAGTTCAGCTTAGATCGTGAAAATTCCTGTTCATTTTCTATTTCACAATCTAAACTGAACTGTAGGTGCAACTAGTTGATAAGTAAACTATTGGGCCACCGATGGACGACGAGGGATCACGCAGGGACATCATGGGATGCGTGCGTCTTAGCTTTAAGTTGCGTGCGTTTAGTTTTAGTTAATTATAAGATAATTAATATCTGGGACGACGAGGGATCTCACAGCGACATCGTGGGATGCGTGCGTCTTAGTTTTAAGTTGCGTGCGTTTAGTTTTAGTTAATTATAAGATAGTTAGTATTTGTAAATTCACTGTCAACGCATTCTGTACAAAGACACGTTTATTTAACTTGAGACGAAATTATGCACACCTCCTCGATTTTCTTTTTTCGTTCGTTGTTACTGTTATTGTTACTGTCATTGCACTAGAATAGAGTTACATTTGTTACTGTCATTGCACTACAGTAAAGTTACATTTGTTATTGTCATTGCACTACAGTAGAGTTACATTTGTTACTGTCATTGCACTACAATAGAGTTACATTTGTTACTGTCATTGCACTACAGTAGAGTAACATTTGTTACTGTCATTGCACTAGAGTAAAGTTTCCACCTTTCGCTGTCAGTGTGTCAAATCGGTTGACTGCAGCCTCGTCCGAGGTAGGTTCTTGTAGTCTAGCGTCCTTTGTAATACGACTCCAGTGGTTCTTCGGAACCCCACTGTGTCGTTGGGGGTAGCGCGAAACTGCTTGCCTTTAAATGCTCGGAACCCGATTTGGCATACTGGCAACGAAAGTTGAAAACTCTACTCTAGTGCAATGACAGTAACAAACCGCGGCTTCATTCCGCGTTATATCCCTTGAAAAACACGATACTGATGCGTGTTAATAGTTTCGTTCTTTTGATTTCGTTCGATCAGCGTGCCTTTGATACAAAATGCGCTGTTAGGGCTGCGAATTATTGTACAATTATTGTGTAACTTTCATGTGTTAGTCGACTGTGTGGTTAGTATGAAAGGCTGCGAGTGATTGCGATATATTGTATGATTTGCATTCGTATGTAATTTACGATTGTATGTAATGTATGCAATGTGTGATTGTATGCAATGTATGTAACGTATGATCGTATGTAATGTATGTAATGTACGATTGTATGTAATGTATGTAATGTATGTAATGTATGATTGTATGATTGTTAACGCGATCGTTATTCGGGAGACAGAGTCCCATAGTTCAATCTCATACGTGCGCTTTAGAATTAAGATTTAGACTTAGGTTTGAGATTGCACTATTGAATCTCTGTCTCCTTTGTTCGTAAACCCGGGCCAAGTAGAATAAAATCTCGGCATTCCTTAAGAATGCCGAGTTACTTGCATGTAATGGAGGGTGGTTGGGATTAGGGCCCGGGCGGGTCTCGTGCGTAGTCACCTCCTCGTGGTGAGACCTGGTAATTGATATCGTTTTACAAACATTAAAGTTTGCAAAACGTTATCAAGCTAAATTGTAAAACGATAAATGAGAAACTTTAATGTTTGTGAAACGATATCAAGCTAAGAACTACGCAACCTACAGTTCAGTTTAGATCGTGAAAATTTCTGTTCATTCATTACTTCGCGATCTAAACTGAACTGTGGGTACAATTAGTTGATAAGTAAACTATTGGGCCCCCAGCGATGGACAACGTGGGATGCGTGCGTCTAGTTTTAGTTAGTTATAAGATAGTTAATATTTGTAAATTCACTGTGAGTGAATTCTGTACAAAGACACATTTATTAAACTTGAAACGAAATTAGGGACATCTTCTCTCCGCTCTTCTTTCGTTTGTTGTTACTATTGTTACTAACATTGCACTGAAGTAGATTTTCCAACTTTCGTTATTGGTGTGTCAAGTCGGGGAACTGCAACCTCGTCCGAAAGGACGAGGTAGGTTCTTGTAGTCTAACGTCCTTTGTAATTCGGCTCCAGTGGTTCATCGAAACCCCACTGTGCCGTTAGGGGTAGCGCTGGACTATTTGCCCCTAAGTGCTCGAACCCCAATTTCGCACACTGATAAATCGCGGTTTTATTTCGCGTTACGTATCTCTTACAAGGCACGATATTGTAAAGTGTCAATAGTTTCGTTTCCCTTATTTCGTTCAAAGTTTAATAAACGTGTCTTTGATACGAAATGCGCTGGTAGGGCTGCGAATTATTGTATGGTTATTGTGTAACTTTCAAGTTAAACAAGAATGTCATTAGTATGAAAGGCTGCGTGTGATTGCATACATATTGTACGATTTGCATTCGAATGTAATGTATATATAGTATGTATTGTGTGATTGTATGTATTGTGTGCATTGTGTGCATTGTACGAATTGTATGAATTGTATGAATGGTATAATCTGTATGAATTGTATGAATTCTATGAGTTGTACAATTGTATGTATTGTATGATTGTGCGACAGATGAACTTATTGTTAAAGCTATCGTTGTTTTCAGAGACAGAGTTCCATAGTTCAATCTCATACTGGAATTTTATATAAGTCCCTGCAGCACTATTCTGTACTCTTCCTTTTGCTTGTTGTTCTTTTAACTTTTCCTCTAGAAGTATTGCCTTTTCTGTTTCTTTTGTCTTTTTCTCTAAAAGTATCCTTTCATTTACCAATTGAACCTGTATACTTTTTTCTTCGTTTAACTTTATTTTCCATCACATTTTGCCATTCTGTTTCTGTTGCTCTTCTGTTCATTTTCCCATTTGTTCTTTCATTTCCATTTCCATCATTTCTTTTTCGAATTTACTTACATTTAATGCCTCTTGCCATTATTGTTTTTCTGCGTTCAATTTTCTTTCAAATTCAATCCGTTCGTTCTCCAATTTCTCTAACAATTCGGCATACATGTGTTACGAGTCGAAACCTCGTTCGATTGTGGCATTGTCACGACGAAAATGATTCGCCTTCTGCGAACGTGAGTATTCTGCGATCGAGTGATAGTAAAAATAGTCGCACGAATTGGAAGGAACGGAGCTGATTGAGGAAATGAAGGATGAATGGTCGGAAGTGACGAATTTTTTTTATAAATGAATCCATAAAAAATAATTTCAACCTCGTTAAATAAAAGGAAAATCGATCAATCCCTATCGTACGACCTCGATATAAATATAAAACAAATTCAAATAAATTTTCACGACAACGGTAACGAATCGAGTGGCGAACTTCGATCAACTTTATCCACACATCTGGAAAAGACTTGGCCGCGGTGCGACGCGGCGTGAAACTGCTCGTCTAGGTCGGTTTGTTTATTAAAGATTATCTCTCTGAACGACATCCTTCGTTCAGGGTGAAAGCACAGAGTGAAACGGTAAGGGGATCGTGCTTTCGAAAAGCAGATGCCCATACGATCCGGAAAGTTAAGTTCGTTAAGTATCCCCGGCCGTGTCTTATCAACCTAGACGTGGCTCTGATCCTCCACTTACCGTGCCGTGGCATAACAATTACCCTATTATTTCGCACACAGCCGGTGTGTGCCAGTTCGCGACCCTGTTCCCTTTCCACGATGCACGTTGCTCTTTCACATTTTG